CCTACAAGATGAGTCGCTTCGATAAGTCATCTTATCATTGGCATATACACATTCCAGTTTCTTGTTATCTAATCCGAATTTAGGCACAACGAAATGTAATCGTTCAGAGCTCTTTGAATGACATTAAAATATAATGTAAGTGGTAGTAGCATTACATGACAAAATTCAAATTAACAAATATGGAGGGTTGTTGAAAAATATGATAACAACAGTTTTGAAACGGTACGGTATGGTCTAATAAGTGGGGGACGATTGCAGAGAGCTAGAGTGACTTCCTTGTCTCCTTATTGAAATCTGCGAATGTCTTATGAGATACATGAGGAATGTAGGTATGGCTAAAAGTATGTGGACAGAGGGAACCATCACTGGCTAATCATAGGACAATACAGAACATCTCTAGTAAAACGGAAATGAGAAAAGATTCATCCTTTTCCAGGACATTTTTGGGCTGTCTTAACTTTTGATTGTCAGTATGATAGATTCTTAAAAAATGTATTAACTAACATAAGCTCGATAATTACTCGAAATGTTGTCAAGACGCAGAACTGTTTTTTATATATGTAAAACTGATTGATGTTTTGACACAACTGTTGGGAATATTGCTAGTTTGATATACTGCAGTAGTCGATCAAAGGCACAAAGGTATGACTTCATTTGAAAAATTCCTGTCAACTCATTGGAGCACTCGTACCCTTTTGACCTAATTAAGTATCATTGTAGCATTTAATTTCCTGATAACTAAATACGATTTACTGATAACTAAATACTATTTCATGCTGAGTAGCTGAAAATCCTCATACCTCACACATAGAAGTACTAGGAGTTCGGAAGGGAACTTAAAAGAATGATAAATTTCACCTGGTTCACACTCACACCTTCTTTTCCCTCGTTGCACCTCAGCTGTTTCCATCTGTAACGAACTCCTATCCTTCATCCATTCCTGTCGATCCTAAAGTGCAATAACCTTCGCTGTAGGTCGAAAAGAGCTTCTGCTTACAGTTAACACTTAATTAAGAATTGAATGTTGGGAAAGTGCAAGTTGATGGTGTGCAACATTTTTGTCAATTGTTTGCTTTTTGGTTGGATTGTCTA